TATATATATATATATATATATATATATATATATACTATTATTAGTCTTACTTAAGTTAGTATAACTACTACTATATAGACTAGACTATCCTATATATATATATATATATATATATATATACATTTATTGCTTCTAAAGTTTGTATAACTCCTTCATATGACTGAACTATCCAAAAAAGAATGTCAATGTTGCTCACCATTATAATGTCAATGCTGCTCACTGTTATAAAGTTTATAGTATGTTATCAGTTGAAAACTGGCCATTCATATAGCTGTATTGGACTTATTTTCCTCACGAATGAATATATTGATGGTAACATAGCTTTAGATGTTTGATGCTCTCTTTTGGTCTTTTCTAATGATGTTTGATAAACACATAATAATAATAATATGGTTATAATGTATATGTGTAGACTACAGAGTAAGGCCTGTTATGTAACTGATTAAAGAGTATTTTGTCTGTGTGTAGACTACAGTGTAAGGCCTGTTAGGTAACTTAGAACTTCCTTATATTCCAGTAGATTATCAAAGAGAGACCTATAACTTCTTTAACGTTCCAGCAGGTTATCAAACATAGAAACCCATGACTTAATTAAGATTCCAGCAGGTTATCAAACACAGAAACCTAGAACTTCTTATAGTAACTTCTTTCTTCTTAGCAAGGAAGAACTTCCAAAATTATCAAACACGCCCTAATTGTTTAGCGCCTCGGCTCTATACAAACTGCACCCTTCAAAAAACCAATGTCATCATAACTCTGCAACTCAAATAGTGCATCATGACCTAACAGTGTTGTGATGCCTCATCAAGTCACGGACTTTGAGTATCATAACCTGATGGCTCAGCACCACACTAATCATGCCCTTATGCCTCCCATGAGGTGCTTGTCAATAATGAGGCATTATAACACTGTTAGTGCCATGATAAAGATGAAGGGATCCTGGTTCTATGACACGTGGTTCGACTATCATGGTTTATTAAAATTGTGATTGTCCTTTTAGGACCATATGCATCAAGGGGCCTTGGAGTATAATGGTTCTAACATAACTTTTAAGGGCATTTGGAAAAATAAATAAAAAATCATCTGATGAATGGGTATGGACATAGATTTTAGAAAATTTAAGTATGTTTTAATTTTTATAAAAAACATACATTTTTGTTAATTAAAATTTTAATTTTAGTGAATCACAGGGCAGTTCGATGCCCATGATATCAGACTATCCCATTTTCAAGGTGGTCTGATAGTGGAAAAATCGGACAGCTCAATACAAAAAAAATTTCTTCCTTTTTTTGTTTTAAGTATGGATCGGTCAATGTTTTCAACATCAAACTGGATTTAAAATCAGAAAAATAAAAAATTTGGAAGGTCTGATATCTTTAACATTGGACCGCCCCTTCATTTCTTTTCTTTAATAAGTGCTAGTTGGATTATGACTGTTGCATGTAAAAAAAAACGAGGGGAAATTACAAAAAAACCCCCAAAATATACTTTTTATGCAACTTACCCCCCAACTAATTTTTTCTCTCACTTTTTTCCAAACAACAAGCTTTTTATGCAAATACCCCCCCCATGGAAAAAGTTCATTTTTTTAGACGAAAATGCCCTCCCCATAGCACATTGTCGGAGCGCACTTAAACAGTGCCAGAGCCTTGTGACTCAGAATGCTCCACTGTCGGAGCGCACTTACGTAGTGCGGGAGCGCTGTGTTAGACTGCCGGAGCGCTGTGCCCTTCCCATAGCACATTGACGAAGCACACTTAAATAGTGCCGAAGCCTTGTGACTCAAAATGCTCCACTGCCGGAGCGCACTTATGTAGTGCCGGAGCGCTGTGTTACCCTGCCGGAGCACACTTACGCAATGTCGGAGCGCACTTACATAGTGCCGGAGAGAGGCACGGGTAAAGGGTAAAGTAAGGGTAGTTTCGCCTTTTTTTTAATATTTGGGATGGTTGGGGGGGCATTTGCTAGGAAACATTATTTTGTGGAAAAAATTGAGAGAAAAAGATTGGTTGGGTAAGTTGCATAGTAAGTTTAGTTTGGGGTTTTTTTTGTAATTTTCCCAAAAAAAGATGCAATGACGACTTTCTCATACATATCTATGTGTCTTCTTAATCACCTCATGATCTATCAGTATGCTATGCATATTCTATAGAAAGGCGGTGACTTATTTTAACTAATTGTTTTTTTTCCCCCTATTCAGCTCCTATAACCTGATCAACTTATGAATAATAAACAATTGACAATAGTATTGTATCATATTTATAAGGATGATACATATTAGGTATTAAATGAAAATAAACAATACCATAACAAACAACTTTGTAATAATCAACACCAAATGCTTAATAAGTTGTGTGCTTTCTTATGTCAAACCCATATTACACATTTGATATGAAAGACAAGCAAACCATACTAATAATAAAAAATCTTATTATTATATTAACTATAAAAGATAATGAGAGAAGAGTGACCCAGAGATAAGCCAATATACACTACATTAATATATTTGAGAGAATAGATAAGAAACTACTTTAATTTTCTAAAAGATGAACTCAATTTTTATGAGTTAAAACTCTTGAAAAGGGAAAATTTGTAAATCCACATATCTCTTTATCTCTCAACTTAAAGATGGGTATATCTCTCTCTTGCTAAGGATGGGGGATCCTAAACTCTATCTTCTAAATTAGACAATGTAGATCTCTCTTCTTTCAGCCATATCTGTCTCCCAAATTAGACATTGTAGATCTCTCTCCGTTCTGTTTTGTTATGGAATTGACCGATCTCACACCACTTCTTATTTCCATATTTTTTTGAAAATTTTTCCCATTTATTTTTAGTTTTTTCCTAGCCGATTCACTCAGCTGGATCACTGATTCAAACTGTTGATCTGCTGATTGGGACTAGTTTTTCTAGATAGGTGATTTGGGTCACAATGCCATTTTTTTCAACATTAATACCATCAATCTCATCCCGATAAGCCTTTTTGTCTTGCATACTCTCTTAAGATTATCATTCTCGAGTGTGATGGACTATGAGAGAAAAAGACGCGATGTCAACTGTGATCCTCCCTTGATCACTGTTGATTGTTGTAGTGGACGATGATAACACCGAAGGCTATGGGTTTAAAAGATTACAGTCCTCATCACCATGGATTTTTACAGAGGCTTTGAATTGCAAACTTGCATCCATTGTTTAAAAAAAAAGGTCCGCTTGGTGCCTAGGCGTTTTTTTAACAAAAAACCGCACGCCTCATGAAAAGGCACCTGAAATGGGCGTTTTTACTTGGGCGAGCACTCAGCGCCCAGGTTTGGGCGGGTGCCCAGTGAAGTTAGGCGGAAATTGCTTTTTAAATTCGCCCAAAAGGGCAGAATGGGTCATTTTGACCCCCCAAGTTTGTATAAAAAAGTGATGGGGTTTATTTTTGAACCCTCAAAGTAAAACGTATGTTACGAAATGGAATAAATTACAAAATTTGACACAAATATATGCATATATGTACATTAGGATAGCAAATATTTTTAAAAATGTTATGATTTTCCACTATAGGGAGCCCGAGGATCTGGGCGCTTGCTTAGGCGCTAGGCGTTGGGGGCCAGGCTGGCCGCCTAGCGTTTTTTGATACCTTGTTTGCATCTTGATGCCCATTTTTTGGTCTCTCCCAAGAAACGAGCAGCGGGAAACACGAATACTCTCCGTCCTCCCAAGCTTCTCTCTAGGGTGGCAATGGCTCGGTCGTGCGGCCGGATCGGTCATGACCAAAGGAAAATTAAGAAATGTGGCTTGAAGGCTGAGCCTGGGCCAAGCCAAGATAGAGCCAGCCCAGTTACCCGATTTCTATTTTGGGTGAGGTTTGTATAAGGTGTCAACTTTATACAATTGAAATAAAGTGCGGCTCAACACTATGTCGAAAATGCAGATTTTGAATTATGAAATTTAAAGTTCTAGAAATGATGACGATCAAGCAAATGAAAATCTTGAAAATGGATGGTCTAGATAATGTGTCTGAAGATGAATTTTTTTTAGGACTAGAAATCCCTTTTTTTTCATGTTTATGAATCTTGAGGTCAAGATAATCAATTTGAGGGTTTTCCAGCATAGGAACAACCATCAATAGTGGGTTTTTCAGGTAGGGAATACATTTAAATGGATAAAGCTGCGGACATGTGTGCCCAAGGTCTAGGTCTGCAACTTTCAGGAATATAAACAGGCAAAAGAAATTTGCAATGGGAATAAGGAGAGCGGGGGGCTATAACACGGAAAACTTATTGCAGGGGAATGTAAACGGGCAAAAGAATTTGTCATTTGGTTTTATGCAGTAATGATACCAGTATTCTTTCATTCTTTTATTTTCATTTATTGATGAAAACTTATTTAGGAGGTTATATTATGCAGTAGGATTTAATAACTATTATGCAGTAGGATTTCATTGGCTTCACTTTTTACTTGTTTGCTGTCATATTACCATCATGCGTGGATGTATGGGTTGCTATTCTTTCATTTCTTTTTGTTTATGCTTAAATAGTTACACTCTGTGTGAATTTTGGTTCTTTTTTTTGGGATGATGTGTTATTTGATTGTGTCATTATATATTGATCCTTGTCAATGATTTTTTACTTGCTTGAGGGCCTGTCAATTATGTTGGACATGTTTTGCTATATCATTCTTACCTGTAATCTTCTTTCAATACCTTACTTTGCTATTATTCTTCGGGGTCTCTGTTATATCATTCTTACCTGTAGAACTGGAGCACCTCTTTCTCTTGAACCAGCCTTATTCTTTGTTAGGGTTTATATAAAAAATTTATTTCTCTCATGAATATATAAGTTCGAGGAGAGAGAGAGAGAGAGTTTCAGGGTTTGAAAGCTGATACATTCTTTGTGAAATTTAATGCTCTCTCCCATGCTTGGGTATTTTTATTTACCATTCTCTCTTTGTTTTCTCGTTCTGTTTTCTAGGCCAGGAAATGATATGGCTTTTGAGGTTCTTGTGTTTTGATCTTTTCTCAAAAAACTGTTGACGATTCAGTTGTTTCTCCATACCCATGTTACTTTCATAAATTTGCAGAAACTTTCTACTTTTCCTTTTTAGGGCGACCATTTGTTAATTTAACCTTTTTCCCAAAACTTATGCCTATCTTTTAACTTTAGAGAGTTTGCCATACGATCATTTCTACATCTGCAAATGTATTAGTCTTCAAAACCAAGTAAATACTCTACTGTGGGTATCGTTTTCTACTATTTGTATTTTATAATATTTTGTGCCAACTCATTAATTCTTCATTTGCTTATTGTTGCAGTAAAGATATTAAGGTGGACATTCTAGTTTTTCCTTAAATTTATACCATCCTCCAAAGAGGGTATGGAGAAGTTCCCCGTCACGAATCCAAACCATTAGATTAGTTTTACGTTTCACCTTCGTCTCCTTTGCTCCCAAATGGAAGTCCTCAGGACTCACTCGCCTAACAGTGATCTCAAAGCCCTAATCCATGAAAACTCCCTGTTCTTTGAAAGGCTTGTGGAGCTCATCCCAGCAAGATTTTACCTACCCAATGAAGATTCGGAAAAGAAATGGTTTCAGGGCCTTAGCAAGGCAGCCAAGGCTTCTGCAAAGAAGGAAACAAAAGAAAACATAAAGAAAGCTCGTCGTGCTCGGCTTGATCCTGAGGCCTCAGCAACAACTCTCGATCTCCTAAAGCAAAGAATTGAAAAGGAGAAAACTGAGAATGCCTCTGAAAAAGATGATGAAGATGAAGAAGGTCCAGTGAAGAAGGCAGAAGTGAAGGATGATAAATCCGTGACCTACGAAGATCTTCGGGAACGTCTCCACCGACGGATTGAGGAATTGAGGGCCCAACGCAATGCGGGGGATAAAAAGCCCAATGCCCAAAAGAAGGAAAAGAGAAAGAATTCAGGGGAAGGAAAAAGGAAATGGACTCAAGAACAGGAAGACAAATCCATAAAAAGCAACACCCAAGATGGTGAATCTTCAAAGAAAAAAAAGAAAGCTTCTGGAGATTATGCATTTACCCATGTGAAGATCGGGTCAGGAGAGGAGCAAAACAAGAAGAAGATGAAGATTTCAAAGGAACAAGCTTTAGTGAGAGCGAAAAAGCTAGAGGAAGCAGTGAAAGATCCGATTAGAGGTCCCAATGTTGCTTCAAAGCATTCGTGGGGTGCGGCTGCTAAAAGAGCAGCTGGTATTAAGGTTCATGATGATCCAAAGCTGATTAAGCAAAGCATAAAGAAGGAAAAGAAGAGGCAACAAAAGAATGTGCAGAAGTGGAAGGGGAGGTTGGAAGCAAGGGATAAGATTGTTGATGCCAAGCAACAAACTAGAGCCAATAATATAGCTCAACGGGCCCAGGAAAAGAAGAAGCGGCGCATTGAGAAGAGAGAGAAGAAGCTTTTGCGCCCTGGTTTTGAAGGTCGAAAAGTTGGTTTTATCAATAAGTGATGTTCCATGATATTGGGGGAGCCCTTTTTGGAACTTGCGGGGTAAGATTGGTTGCCTACTAAATGTATTTCCTTTTATATCAAGTTCAGGATACTTTAATTGCCTGTTTTTTTCTAAATGTATTTCCTTTCATTTGTACCTGTTCTATTTTGATTAGTGATCACTGTTCTTCATATATTTTTTAAGAATTTTTATTTTTATTTTTTTTCCTTCTTGGGTCTGCTTCAAATTGGTATTTTCTTTCAGAGCTTCTAGTGATGGCTTAACCTTGAAAGTGTCTACCTATCTATCTATTTATCTCTCCTCCTCTTTGGCTTTTTATTATGGTAGGTAGCCGGGGTTTTGAACATGCCAACTAGTTCAAGAGAGCTGACAAATGTATTGGAATTTTAGTTTCAGGCATGTCATGTAATTTCTATGCATGAATAATTCTAAAAAAAAAAAAAAACCATCAATGGAAATTAACTGAAGAATTGAAATTGAAATCTTCAAGTGCAGGAGAAGAGATTTAGATTGTCCATTGCGTCCCATCAAATTCTGCTGCAAAAATATTAATGAATGGTATTGATTAATTGTGTAACGTGGGAATTACCTTGCGAATGTTTAAAGTATTCCAGAAGGTTGTAATGGTTTGTAACTTTCTATTGTTGGATTTCATTGATGATCTTTGATATCATGATATGTGAAAGAGGCTTGCGCTCGTGTTTTCTATAGGTCACGGATAACTCATAAAGGAAGCAGTGGTTCTAATTTAATAATGATTTGGAGTACCATGTGATGTTCATGAATGGTGAGACTGATCAAAGCTTCCGTGCAAAAGGCTTTAAAAAAAAAAAAGCTGTGTACCCCTTCTACCCATGTTATGCAGGTATATGGCCATATAAATATATCTACATATATCTATTGTGATAATTGTCATTTCATACAGAACCAGCATATTGAAGTAAACTTCCAGTTTGGCAATGAAGTCGTTTTATTTTAGAATTGTCTTGACTTGTCATTAACTGACGTAGTCATTTGTTGAAGACTCTAGTCAAATAAAAACATTGCATGGATTGCGATAGTCAAATAAAAACGTTGCATGGGTTGCGTTCTCATAGTCTTTAAAAAATTGTAGTTTGAAGGTGCTTGCTTGATCTTATTAGAGAGTTGCACCCCTTACCTTGGCTGGTCGGTTTTATCATTTAGCAAACCTCTGTCCTTAACAATATTTTGTTGAGTTTGTGCGTTGACTATGTGGGACATGTCAGATCCAAATTGATAGATACGGTAGGAAGAATGTCACGAGTGCTTGTGACCATTTGATACGTTAAAAATGTTTGTTCACCATGCATTTTAGTTTTATCTGGTTATTGTGATAGTTGACGAGCATGCTAATTGGGAAATCCATTCCCAATCAAGACTGACGTCCTCAGCTAGATTGGTTTCGAGTGTCATCTATTGGTTGGCGTTTTTTTAATGCTAAATGTAATTGATTGATTTGTGCGTATGTTAATGGCACATTCCAAGATCTCTAAATACACACTTATATTTAAACGTATAGGTCAATTCACATCCACAATGTGGTGTGTCTAATGGCATAGCCAAAACTATGCAAATATCTTCACTGCCTAGTGGTGCTATTATGGCTCATGACCAGTTATTATTGGGGATGGGAGATGCCTAGCTATCGTATGGTACTACGATATTTTTAGTCTTGGTCATCCACAGTTTTCGAATATTTTTTCCCAATTCTTGAAGTTACATGTACTGTATTTTAAGTGAGTTAGCATATGAAGAATTTTTTTCTCACAATTTTTTTGTGTGATTCTGATTCATGTATACAGTGCAACAATTGAGTTGCATTCTGTTTCTTTATGTCACATGCAGATTGCTGTGAAATTTTTGGAGCTGGTTGTTGCGCGCAATGCATTTCAGATGAATATGGCTTCCACTGTTCCACTGATGAGCTTTCTAATTATTATGTGCTGAGGATACCTTGTTTTGTGTGTTAAAATAGAATGTCAGAAAGGAGCTTTGGAATATGTTATTATCAATTCATTAGAAAGCTATGTGCATTTCTAATCAAGTAGTGAATAAGAATGCCCTGTTATGTGCATTCGTAGCGAACCTTGTAACACTGAGCACTTTCTGCTTGTTGCCAGTTGTGAGCAATGAATGGTATTGCAATTTTATTATGGCTGGTAATATTCTCCCAACTAAAGCAACCAAGATACAGTTGTGTGGGAATGGAATCATTACCTAGGAATGTATTTCCATTTTGCAACATAATTATTGCTAGATTTAAAGAACATGTGCTAAGAGAGATCCCCAACGGTTTTTGGGGTTTTAAATACGTATTACTTGTTGTAGGTAGAATGTGTGTTGACAGTTGGCATTGCTAATTTATTGTTTTCATTTTTGCTTTTTTTTTTTTTTTCTTTTTTGAATTTATCAGGTAGTACGGACTACATAATTTCCATCAAGATAATTTTCCTAAAGAATTTCCAGTTATAAATTTTGTATGAATGGGCAGTGACCACAAATACAAATGCTTACCTAATAATTGGGTGCGTTTTGTATAAGGTTGCAATTTTGTTTGTAGAAATAAGGTTGTGATACTCTGCACTGTTCATTTTATTTGGATAATGCATATTAGATACATCTTTAAGGTACATAGCTCATCTTTTAAGATAGATGTCTAATCTACATAGTCCAAATAAAATGGACAATGTAGATTACTACAACCTTATTTGTAAACCTTATATAAGTTTTTCCTAAATAATTAATGATAATATAAATGTGATATTTGCAATGCGTTTTCATTTTTATGTTCTCGTATTTTATTGGTTGTGGGGCCCACCTCGTACCTCCAGGCCCCATAGAGGCCAACCACTTGGGACTGCCTGAGGGCTTTGGCTGTCATGGTTAGGTATTGTTCCCTCCAATGCTGGAACAAATGGTTTTTGTTATTTGACAAATCTAAAAGTCCTACGCCCTTAACAATACGCTTAAATGATCCTAAATGCTAGTATATGTAGGGTCTAATACGAGACCTTTTTTATGGAATTATCAAGTGTACTGGAGTTGGTTTTACAGTGCTGTGTTATTTTTCGCATGACGAGTGGAATGTCACTGTTGCTGGTTTGATAGAAGGGATTGATAATGGTCACCACTTTAAGGAATGGATTGGACAAGGGCTGAAGTGTGCTTATGTATATATTAGACGGTTTATAGTAGTAATTGGGAAAGGTCCTTGAAGTGTGAAATAAAATATGATGGTGGTAGTTTGGTAGATGATGGCATCGAGTTCATCAAGTGTGGCATGCGGCGCGATGTGTCAGGGGTGGGCTGGTGAGGGTGGTGGGGAGGGTATCTGATGTGCCATGCACCTCAATGGGGCCGAGATGTGTAAACATGACTTTATGATGTGGGCAATATTGCAAAATAGAACTTTTAATTATTATTAAATTTATAATAATACAAAGAAAATAGAGCAGGCATTCATGTGCTTTCGGTACCTCTCCTGAAGGCGTCTGTTGTATTGGATATGTTGTAGATCATTTAATTTCTTTTGCGGTAGATCTTCATTTGCTATGGAGCTGCAACATAAAGAAAGGAAACAAGTAAAATAAAAAATTGTGTTATAGAGGTGAAGGGAGGGGAGACAAGATTCAAAGTCAGTGGGGATGTTGATCAAGAGAGAAGGGTTATTGAAAGCAACATGGATGTGAGGGTTTAATGACTTAATCCTAGAAAAGCAATACTTCTGGTCGAGATTCATGGACTATGAGGGTTTGGGGGACCACTGCTGGAACACAATCCTGACCACCACTCTAGTCATTTACGAAAATCAGGGAGAGTTTTGGGCAGTTCATTGCCAGGCATCACCTAATGAATATGTATATGTGGTCAAATGATACCGTAATGAAACTAGTTTTATCCAAATTTGATCGTTTTGTCTTGCTAGACTAGATAGGAAAAGTTCATTAATACATGTTCCTTAGCACTATCAAAACCAGCATCTGATCACCTATTGAAAGTACTTGGACACTCCGAGTTTGAATTGATGTGGCTGGTGGATAGGTACCTCCCTTGATAAAAGAATGGTGGTTTTCTTTCTAGGTGGAAGATTGTGAAGGGTACAAAGATCAGTAAGAAACTGCAGTTGCTTAAAATCAGATTCAAAAGGTCAAGTGAGGAATGTTTAGGTAGCATTCAGGTGAAGATTTCAGCTTTGTTCAATGAGTTAGCTGGCTAGACAGTATTGAACAAGAAAGGGAGTTTTCAGCAGGTGAAATCAAATTTAGGCTAATTTATTGATGGGTTGGTTTGCCAACCCAGTTTGTTTTACGTAATTCCTCCCCATTCGCCTCCTCGCCCCCCATCTCTCTTCGGACCATAGAGTCTTCTGTTTAGGAACTCAACCAATCTATGAATCAATAACTGATTGCTTTCTAGAAATCACCTGGAAATTGGATAGCAATTTTCTCGTGGACTTCCAGGCAATCTCAAAAGGAGGCTTGGAAGGAGAAGCCAAACATGTTTCTTGCGACCTGAAAAGCTCGTCTTGTGAGAGCTCAAATGGTGAGAATTGGAGTTTAGCCCGAACTCTTTAACCCTAACAATGATTTGGTGTATATATCTCTTTACGCTATCTTCTACATCATGCTCATTGTACGATTCTGGCAAAATCAAACCAATGAAAAGTTCAGGTAACATTCAAAAGGATAATTAGAAGATTAGGCTTCAAGAGAAGCCCCGCGTTCCTTGGGATCGAGCAAAGAATTTGATGGGCTCTGGTGCGATATCTTGACCTTGGGATGTGTGGGGTGTGGCTCCGGAGGCTGCACGGTGAAGTCCGGGGAGATGAGAGGCTGGTCTTTGGTTTGAGAGGCTTGTATGTATAGGGATGCCAGCTAGAGAGAGCCAGGCCAAGGCCTGGCGTCGGCGGTTGAACAATTTTGAAGTTGCTCAGCTCTGAGCAGATCACATGGAAGTTTTGTATCTTCACAATCCATGAGATTACCAGACCATAGTATCAAACAGACCATGAATAGAGAATTCCTACAAATCCAAAGTAAAGCAAGCTTTCTTCATGTTTGTTTTTTTGGGCAAACTATACTGGGGCAACAGTGGAAGTGCTTTCTCAGGCTTTCGAGATACTATGTGTTTCTGTGAGAAAGCGGTGCTCCAGTTATGCATGTGTTTTAAGTATTTTCCCACGTTGATGGGAAAGCTTGTTCGGGAACAAACTTTCCCAGAAAGCACCTTCATGTGAAACAAACAACCCCTAAAGTGTCTGGGTTAACCATCCCTACTTCATTGAGCAAAACATGTCTGTCGGGGAACATTTTAAATTTGGACAAGGTTTATATGAGTCGGCTGACTCATATATTCATGTGAGTCCTCCTCCTGAAATATATCTTGGAGAGAGATTTTGGATTAAAAAATTTTAAGGATTGATAATCTGTACTATGGTGAGCATAAAATTAAAAAACAATTTAAAAAATAAAAATAATAATTGTTTATGTATTCTCTGGACAGCTGATTTATAGATTTTGGTGGGACCACCGGCTTTTAACTTCTATGTTAGCAGCTTCAGGGAACGCATATGTAGAAATGCGTCCCCTGACACGAGCTACATGCTACATATTTCCTTTAAATAATATTATTTTAATTCACCAATCTTACTAGGAATTAGGCGAGTCAAATTACGTTGTGCACAATTCTGAAAAAAAATCTGCATTCTTTTGCTTTTTCTTTCCTTCTTTTTTTTTTTTTAAGTTTACATCACGTTAGTCAGGTACGAGTCAGATTAGGGGACTCGTAACGGGACAACCGCTGAGTCCGATCCCAACTTTGATTTCCTAAACAGACTTTCACCTTTACCCAAATCCTCAAATTTTGAACCATTCGTAAATTTTATCTAGAATTATGGTCATAGTAATAGGTGATTACCACTTTTCCACTATAAAAACTATAGAGCTATCGACAATGTTCTAGTAAGGGAAAAGTTTATATAGAGCCTTGGCTCTAAACAATCAAATTAGAGCCTACTTCAAAAATTTCATTAGTAGAGGTTGTTTTGATGCCCAAATGTCATCAAATTAATCATCTCGACATCAAGATGTATGGACATGAAAAGAAACATGGATTTCATGTTTTGGAAATAGTGTATCTTGCAATAAATATTTGGACCATCAATTTTCAAGATTTTCAAATTTTCATAGATCTATTCAATTAACAATATTTTTGAAGCTTTAAATTTTATAACTAAAGATGAAAATATGATTTAAGGCTATCATAAAACTTTCAAGTATTCAAACCATATTTCTCAACACTATTTGAAGGTGGGCTCTAATTTGATTGTTTAGAACCTCGGCTCTAAGCAAACCGCACCCATACATGCGCTCTAATTTCATAGATATGCTTGTTGCCATTATTTTTAGTACAAGGAAGTTATAATTTCTCTTCCTATAGAATTCAAATCCGGCGGTTGTCAGCATGTTATTGACTACACTCAAAGTTGATTTTTTTTTTTTACTTCGTAACACACCCAAGCCATCTAATTTGACATTTAATAGCTAAGAATAATTGTGACATCTTTGAAAAAAAGATAAATGCTTTTATAGTATACAATCCCATCAATTTTTAGTCAAACTTTTTTCACACCTAATCCTAGAAATTCAAGATGGGCAAAAAGCTGCCCCCAAAGGTTACCAGATTTCCATTTCCAATTCTCCCAAACAAGATGAAAGCGAATGTCTCATGAGATCAGAAGTGGAGCATTTTTGGGCTGCAATTCTGCGGGAGCTTTAGGGCTAGGCCTGGCCCGACACAAAAAAATACATATCATTAAGATGTATATTATTAAGATTTTTTTAATATAAAAATATGTTCTTGAGTTTGAGAGTTTAAACTAACAAAGTTATTTACATTACTTGGCTTGAATACTTTAAGTAGCCAGATCACCACAATGCCCTTAGGCCTGCAGAATTGCAGCAGGGGTAGTTAGGAGTGAAATGATATTTAATTCCATTGCTCAAGGATGTTTGCAAAACAAGATTTTAATATTTGAACTTTCAAAGATATGAATAAAGGGAAAGGTGTCTATACTTCCCCTAGCATAAAAGATCCATGCTTCTCATACAATCCAGCCATCCAATTTTGATCAAGAGAATCACTTGCCGTTTGATTTTAGAACCGACGTCTCAAAGTATTTAAGTTTTAGTTTTTTTTATACAAATTGTATGAATATGAAATTTGGTACATGCCATATTCTCATTGGGGTGCACCTAGAAACAATATTAAAAATAATTTTTTGATAAAATATAATGACCAAAATGCCCCTTGAAACTTTTAAGGGTATTTTAGACATTTTATTTTATTGAAAATATATATTTTTTATTTTCGTTAGTATGAGTTTAATATAAGATTGGACGTACAAAATTTGGTGTTAAAATAGTTTATAAAACTAAATAAATAAATAAATAAAATAGTGTAGAAACATGACATTTTGATTTAGGCAATCTTAGCCCTCCATTCAGAATGGACGGTTGGATAAAAAGAAATGCATGAGTTTTATATTGCAGAGGAATAGGAAGCATAAAAAGCTTGCCATGAATAAAGACACATCATACTGTTCATGATTTCAAATTACTTATTTTTAATATTTGAATTTTTAAAGATATGAATAAAGTCACGTCATATTGTTCATAGTTTTTAATTACTTATTCTTATAGTTTTGATAATTTTTACTGTATGGTCCTCGAAAATTGAATTTATATGACTGGACAACTTTCGCTTTTGAACCATGACCATGAATGAGTGCCTAACAATCACCACATTCCAATAAATTCAGAAATACGGTTTTCTGTAGTCATTTTATTACATATTTTCAAGCACATCGTAAGTTTCAAGAGAGTGAGCTTGCATCATCTCTTCCTTTGCTTATACAGGAAGCACAACCGATTTAGGGGTGGCTACGGGTTGCGTCGGCCGGACCCGGACCCGGACTTGGACCCGAAAATATAGTGTAGGACTCAAACCCAACCAGACTCAATCCAAAAATTTAAAAATATCTATGTAATTAACTATTTTTAAATACATTTCATATTTTGGGACCCCAAAAATATTAATGGACCTAGACCTGGACCCAAACCCAAATAGTGTTCGGGTCCAAGAATTGGATACAGACCCGACCCCCCGGGTCCAATTTTTGGAACCATACCTGGACTCGGATTGGGTCTACCCCTCGAATCCTAGATAGGGTTTGGGTGCATTGCCACCTCTACAACCGAATGGAGTTGTTTATCATAATGCTTCCACTGCCACTTGGGGAAAAGGTTTCTTAATTATGATAAATCATAATTCTGGTATAAACTATGCTTCCTTGAAGAAGATCATTCCAAAGAAGCAGGTGTTGGGAGCCAAAGAGAGGAGACTGGAGAGAGCTGGCTAGCACTAAATCCTGTCAAACGTTAGTAGGAAAAACATAATGTTGCAATACAACTTTAAGTATAATAGAAAATTCAAGTCAGAGTTGAATCTTTTATAATTCAGATACCAGATGGCTATTTCAATTTTAAAATATACAGTTTGACCCATTAAAACAAGATTCATAAAACTCTCTAATTATTATTATATTGGATTCTATATTATCCGAAAATATCAAGATATTAGAGTGATATCAAACAGGCCCTAAATCAACAGTACTGATTTCTTGAGGTTATGATCATTTTATTTATTTTTCCGTAAAATAATTTGAGGGATATACTATTCATGAAAACATGGGTATTAAGGTTTGGATGAGAACAAGCTATGCACCTTTGAGAGGAAGTACGTTACGGTAGCATGTTTCATACTGTTTGTATGGTGAAACCTGTCATGATAAACGGAACCTATATTTTTTCGTAGGGGAAAATGGTTTAATAGGGCTGCAGCCCTATCACCTCATAACTCATCTATAATTGCAATTCCTGCATTTGAAAACATTTACATCGATCATCTCGACTTGAATATTACGATTGTAAAAAAATTAAAATTTCAAGCTCTAAAAACAAATGTATATTGCGACAAATTATCTAGACTGTCCATTTTGCCTTAAAAATAAGTGTTCAAAGATCCGCAAGATCTGTATATTTTCTGAGTTTCAAAATTTATTGTCACTGTTGGGTATTGATTTGAGAGCTATCATAGAAATTTCCGTTACTCAAGTGATTTCCAGATGAGGATTTGAGGTGAGGCTTTATTTTGTTTTCATAAGCCTTATAAAAACTTCATAATAGGATCATAAGATCGTAGTACAAATAGAGTGATGCATTATATTTCTTACACCTCCACTGGACGGTCCATCATCAAGAATGACGGTTGATATGAACCGGACATTAAGGGTGGGAATGCAACGCAGTGAATTTAAAATGCATCTCATTCTCTGGTTCAAACCAAACTCCAGATCTACTAAAATAACGGATTACCAGAACAACGAATAGCAAAACCATTTGAAGCCTCAGTCAGTGTTGAGAGCAAAGCAGAGGCACGCATTAGAAAAACACCTCTAATTGAGTGTGGAATCACAAACTCCTCATCAACTAACAAAACTGAAGCATTAAACTTCAGCATAAATTAAAAGGATCCTACAAAACCATTTTGGGAACCATGCAATTGTTCCCAGTTGAGCTATATGCGGAAAATTCCCTCACTCAAAACAGGAGGGAAAAAAATCATGATTTGAGTCAATCAATTTGCTTTATCCCAAGCTGACAAATGGGGTTTTTCTTTATGAGACCAAGATCCACCTGCCATACAAAATCACTCATCAGCTTACGAATGAAGCACGAATATCAAGACTGCAAGTTGATCTAAATTGTGTGTGAGAGAGAGAGAGAGAAAGCATACCTTGTGCCCAAAAAGATCTCGGATGTTGTCAATGCCATACAATATCATGGTAGGCCTGGTTTTTAGAGTTCAAAAGGTCGTCAGTAGAGAATCCACATAGTTTGTGGCTCGCTCCCTAAAGAAAAGTGAACGCAGGAATAATCCTAACCAACCTTTCAAGAGATAGACCCCATGCAATCACATTAACATCCTCAGGAAGCCCCATAGGACGCAGCATCTCAGGCCTAAACATGCCAGAATTGCCAACCTCCACCCATTTCTTGAACCCTTCATGGTAGCTGATCAAATAAAGATACACACAACAATGACCGAAAAGATACAGATTTATATCAGAGATTCATTAGGAGGTCTAGCACATAAGCGTCCACATTTCCAGACCTGAAAATCTCCATGCTAGGCTCGGTATATGGATTATACGCAGGCTTGAACCGTAGCTTGGACACGCCTACAAAGTATTTGAGTCCGATAGATCAAAAAACTAGCAAGGAAAAGGGGGATATATATATATAGAGTAATGATCATTTAAGACCCTCCCCCATGCATGTGTGTAGGACCTCAAAGGATTACCATTAACGTTGGCGCGGATCTCTAAAAAAGTTATCACATGGGTGTGGAACTTGACTTTTCTATAGATCCGTGTCAAATTTAATGGTGATCCTTTGGGGTCCTACACACATGGGTGGAGGAAAGTCCTATATATATATATATATATATATATGGGAAATAATGGCATAAGCCTGTTAGACTACAGCTACATATAAGCCCAACGGCCCAAATCTAGGCCGATCCAATGATCACAATTGCATTTCGCATTTGAATTTTAAATTTTTCTATAAATCTAAATTACTTGAAATTTTGGACGTGTGTGTTTTTTAAAAATAGAATAATCCAATAAAAATATCAAAAAACTGATAATTTATATTTTATAAATTATTTTTTTAATATTTTTATTAGATGCGCCTTGATGAAAAGAATAAACGCCTAAAATTTCATGTGATTTTGATTGTAGAAAAAAATTAAAATTAAAATACGAAATGAGATCATGACTGCTAAATCGGCTGTAGGCTAGTGGGGCATACGCCATCATTTTCTTATATCATCATCATCTTCATCATTTTAGCCTTTTCCCAATTAATTGGGGTCGGCAACATGAATCTTGGTTCTCCATTCTGCTCAATTGAAGGTCATAACCTCGATGAGGCCATAGGTCCTCATATCTTTTCGAACTACTTCCAACCACGTCCTTTTGGGCCTACCCCTTGCCCTTTTCAGTCATTCCACTTGAACTAACTAGCACCTCCTAACAGGTGCTGTACTTGGCCGGCGCCACATCATTTCCCTATATATATATATATATATATATATATATATATATAAGTAA